CCATTCATATGATGTTTCAGTAGAAGAGACAAAATTAACTAAAAACTGTCCTTGTGCTGATGTGATATTTGCGTGTAACACGTTTTCTAAAGTTATAAAACATTTCCCCAGAATGTGCCACAACTGATCTTAAGAGCCTTTAAACAGTGGGAATACTTTCACTAACAGAATTTTTGGAGGTTAAAAGCAAGAAAGGGCAACATAATCTCAACAGCAGGAGCATTCTGAATTGAAGAAGCTACTGTGAATGCCAGGTTAGCAAATAGTAAAGCCACGGCTAGTCAGCACATAAACCTGGACAAGTGTGCTGGCCTGGCATCTAGGCTATTTTAGCTGACTGCATCTCCTTGTATAAGTCTACCTGGACCCTGTGCTCTTCAGAAGCCCTTCTCTTGGTCCCACCTCCAAGCTCGATTGGTGTCAATGAGAGAGAGTGGGCATTCTTTCTCGGTGGCTGCCCTTGACTCTGGAACCCTTCTTCTCAGGGAAGCCAGAATGCCCCCCCCCCCTTCCTGCTATCCTTCCGGCAGCAATTTAAAACCTTTTTATTCAGGAAGGCTTTTACAGAAGAGGGTTTTAAAGATCAATCTGTGCTGTGGTTTCAGATTTGAACATGTTTTAATCAGTTTTTATGGATTTTAACTGTGAACCTGTTAATACCTTTGATATTTAATTGTTTTAATGTTTGCATAACTGTAGATTTTAAATTGTATTGAATCGCTTTTAATGTAATCCACTTTGAGTATCCTTTGGTGGATTAAAAAGTGGGGTATAGATAAGCCTCAACAATAATAAACATAACAATAAAAGTAATGATGGTGATGCATCACAGAAACCTAAGTGGGAGGGGGTAATTTTTCTCAGCTTTGTCTACTATGACTTGAGGGACGAGAAGCAGGAGTTGAATTAATCTACTGGGATTCTATCCTCCTAACCAGGTGCCCTACCCCATACTCATACTGCTCTGAGTTTGGATGTGTGTATTTGAATGGTCAAGACAAATTAAGGATTCTGTAGGTCAGCATCTTCTTCTCCTGGACTAGCTGACGTGACCTTGGGATTGGAATCCCTTGGTTTGCAGTGATGAGAAACATCAGTATATCGACACTGAGACTCCACTGTTGGAGATGGCTCAAAAATTATTGCCTGCCATTATAACCACGGGCCTTTTTCAAGTAGTATCTGTGCCACGTGTTGGATGCACTCTGGACCTCATATTTTTGTGCTGACTATAGACCTGGGAGTAGAGCAATTGTCTATTGTGTAGCTTGTTGTCGACCTTTACAACCCGAAAGACAGTTGCATCTGTCAAGTAGGAAAATTAGGTACCACCTATGTGTGGGGAGGCTAATTTAACTAATTTACGAGGCCATAAAAAGACTCCAGCAAAGCACTCCAGCAAAAGCATGCAGGGAATGCGGAAGTACTTCATCAGTGTCGCAGATGGTCGATTAAAGAGGCAGCTACCCTGGTGGCCAGAAAAGTTAAATAGCCTCTGACTGTCTATGTTGTGTGTCTTTGGCATTGAATGTTTGTCATACATGTGTACATTGTAACCCGCCCTGAGTCCCCTGAGGTGAAAAGGGCGGAATATAAATACTGTAAATAAATAAATAAATAAATAAATAAATAAATAAATACATACTGTTCCATGGTCATGGACAAGTCAATACCTTGGTAGGCTTTTGAGGACACATTCCATGTTAGTACAGGGAGCAAACACAAATACACAGAAGTATGTGCCTGAGTATGAGTCACTGTTTTACTGTTGCGCCAGTCCTTCCTTGGAGAGACAGACTCAGAAAGTGGTGTGGCGGACTCTTCTTTATTACCGGTCTGGGGGTCCCTTGTAGCTTAGTTTTGTCCTCATGCTGTAACATACCCAAAAGAAGTTTGGGTTTGTGGTGTGACCTTTAAGTGGATGATATCTAACTTTACTACTCCCTTCCACCACAAACTAAGGAAGCTGTTGGGGTCCTAAACTAACGTGTAATCAGGAATCGATAGGATACGTATGAACAAACTGAAACAGCCTAGACAAGTAAGAAATACTTCTGTGAAGTCTAAAGTCAGATATGGGGAAATAAATAGAACCTGTGTGCTAGAGGGAGTTAAACTCCACCTGAAGATGCAGGTCTGCAGCTTGTATACATTCCTGGATTCAATGATGAATGTGAATGTTCAAGTTTTAGCAGTAGCCAGGAGTGTGTTAGAACAATGAAAGCTTATGCATCAGCTCCACCTATTCCTTCAGATGTCAGGTGTCATCATGGTGATATATATCTCAGTTACATCCAGTTAAGATTACTGCAGTGCACTTCACATTGGGCTGCCTTTGAAGAGTGTGTGAAAACTCCAGCGGTCCAAACAGTTGCATCAAGACTGTTAACTGGGAATGGCTACAAAGGATAAACAACATCCCTATTGCAAGAACTCCACTGGCAGCCAGGCACAATTCAAAATGCTGACTGTAACTTATAAAGCCCTACACTGCTCAGGTGCAAATTATTTGAAGGGCCATACTCTCCCAAATGAAACTGCTTATATTTTGAGATTTGAGGAAGTCCTTCTATCTGCACCATCATTCTCATAGATACATCTAATAGGAAAAGGGCTTACGCAGTGGCTGCCCTCAAGCTCTGGAATGACTTTCCCAAAGAAGTTAGTCAGACACGGGCAAACTTCAGCCCTCCAGGTGTTTTGGAATTCAACTCCCACAATTCCTAACAGCCTGTAAGTTATACCCTCCTTACTGTCTTTCTATGGACAGGTGAAGACTTTTTTTGTTTTAGGAGGGCTTGAAAGACTGACTACTCAAGTAAAAAAGAGTTGCAAAATGTGCTGCATTTTCTGTTTAATGTTCCTTTTTTTAACTCTCATGTTTTAACAGGCTTTTAGTTTTTCATAGTTTTAATTATATATTTACTTTCTGCATGCTGTGAATTTTAAGGAAGCTACTTTTAACTACTGTAAGCTTTCTGAGTCTTCAACTAGGAAAAGCAGGGGATAAATAAATACATAAGATCATCACCGTCATCATCATCCTATATAACTGTGTGGGTGGTTTACTACCAACATGCAAGCTTTAGAAGAGTCAAAGTATGTCTGTGGGGCTGCAGTGATTCATCTGTGTGAGTCACAGGGACCATTAAGAATTACAGTTTCCAAGATACCCTACTAATCAGGGTTTGTGCAAGCCTACACCCACCAAGCAGACTAAAAGATAAGAGAAAAAAAAACCCAATATGAACAGCAGAGATAACCCCTCCCTCACCCCAAAGGACAGGAAGAGATGAAAGGCAGATGGGAATTTGCATATTAACAGATGATTCAAAAGATTCCAAAGCACATATCTGTTTAGCACTAATCAACAATGGGCTAGCTACTGGGGTTGACAACTTGTGAATAATCACAATTATGCTACTTCATTTACTAAAATTTTCTTACCAACTTCTGTTTACCCAACAGGGTATCTAATAGCAAGAAATGTGCTGCATTTATTTCCACACCCGTCACTATTTATTCTTTTTCCATCCATAAAAATTCTGAAACATTATGTGCTGAATATTTTTTCAGCTGTTAAAGTAAACTAGTAGTCCCTCATTTTTATGATTTAAACATTATAAAATGAGTAAATTGGAAGAATAATTTAAAGAACCTTGCCCAATTGAACTGAGTCATTCAGTCACACATTATCTAATACAGGCAATCCCCAAGCTACAGATAGATTCTGTAGGTCTGTCCTGAAGTTGGATTTGTATGTAAGTTGGAACAGGAACATTTTTAAAGTGTAACTCAAGCCCCATATATATATATATATATATATATATATATATATATATATATAGAGAGAGAGAGAGAGAGAGAGAGAGAGAGAGAGAGAGAGAGAGTATTTTGGATAGTATAGAGAAGGGTTAACACCCCTGTGGTGTTTCCTTTATTATTTATTTATTTATTTACAGTATTTATATACCGCTTTTCTCATCCCTAGGGGGACTCAAAGCATTTTTGCTGTCTGTGCCCCTGTTCAGAAGATTGTGCCTCACTTTCTGAATCTGCGATAATTGGATTGTTTTGGAAACAAGAATTGGTGCAAAAGCTTCAGTTGAGACATTATAACTCTTAAAGGTGCGAATTTCCCTTCCAAGGGGTAGATTTCTCTTTATTCCTGTTGTTTCATCCCATTTTTAACTATGAGTCATTTGTAAGTTGGGGACTGCTTGTACTGCCATGGTGTGGCAGGATTTTGCCACACATGTAGCAAGTACTAGCATTTTTTTTATCTGACATGTAACATTACAGCAAACTGAAGGAAATAAAGCTCTTAATTCAACCCATCTATGCTTGCAATACTCCCAACCTTCACCACTTTGCCATTGATACTTTCAGCAAAAAATGTCCAAAGAGTGTGTGTATATATGCCCGATACTGTAATCTCTGGTTTTGCTATGTTTATTGCAATATGCATTTCAGTCTATCATGCAACTATAAGAAGTGGCAAATTTAACAAACGGAAATCAGGTCCTCCTAGTTTACAAAGTAGTTACCAAGAGTGTTGTGGATTATCAAGAGGCAGGAATAGAGGGCAGAAAGGAGAAATGTGCCATGAAGAAAGCGCCTTAGGACCACCTTCCATCTGGAAATGTATGTCCCCACTGCAAAAGAGCATGTGGATCCAGACTAAGTCTCTACAGTCACTTACAGACCCATTGCCAAGACTCTACCCTTGGAAAACAATCATACTTGGCCACAAGTGATAGCCTATGATGATTATGACTAAATTATAAAACTGCAGGCTAGAACCTTCCTTGGGATATGTCACCTTTCATAAGAAGGCAGAAATGCCCTGGTGAGTCATGGGAACAACATTCACACTCCTTTCAGTTGCACACTTTATTTTGTTCTTAAACTTCACCCAAAAGAACATTTCAGGTCATTAAAGTAAACAAGTAATCATTGAACTATAATAAATCTAATTCAAACCAAAATAATCAACTTACCTGGGTTGGTACAAGTACTGGAGGATATGCCAATTTATGGTGTCGGTACATCCAAAATGAAAACAGTATGATAACTGCGATTCCCATTATAGGCACCAGAGAATAAAGCAAAGTACTGAACAAGGGTGGTTTAGGTGGAACAGGATTGGAAGTAGCTGTAAAAAAAAATCACAATTAGTTTTAAGACAGTCTACTGCTAATGCAATGGACCATGAAGGAATTCTTAAAAGCTGGGGAGACTTGAATCTGCTCAGTATGAAATCTATGAAACAGAATGTGATAACATTATGTGGAATACTTAAAAGATTTCAACTGGAATTTCTACTAGCACTTGAGATGCTTTCATGAAGTTCTATTTTTGATTGTTTGACATGTTAACATCAGAAGTTGGCCCAGAAAACAGTACTTTATCTTCTACACCTCAACTTAATTTAAAGTTTTATCAACAAAAATGCAAGAACGCACAAATATACTAGTTTGCATTCATCTTACAATGTAGCTTTTGTGTTTATGTCTATTTCCAAAATTTTATTTTCATGCAAGCCTTTATTTGTTTCAATAAACTAATTTAAACAAATGTCCCTAAAGATATAACAAATGAAAGCTCACTCTTCCTACTTCTATTTCATAGCTGTACCAGAGAAGGAAAAGAGGAAGCATGCTAAACTGAAGCTCACCAAGTCTCTTTGTTGTCCTGCTCAACTGTATCATTTTCTCTTTGACTGTGATTCAGTGAGCAACCCAGACAGAAGGTTAAAAGATCTTTATGCAACACAAAAAGACTTGTTAGCTACAAGCACGTCAAATTTAAACTATTTTCCTCAGTTTTGATCTATGCTTTGAAATCTGAAAAGGCCTTTCTTATACTGGCCAACTAGTATTTAAATAGAGCTGTAGAAATCTTAATATCAACAAAAGTAACTGTGGTTGTAGACCATATTTCTAATGGGAACAAATATTGTACTGGAGGCTTATAAACTCTTGAAATAAGTTGAGAACTTACGCTGTGTGACCTCCATCTCTGGAGAGTAGAAAAAATGTTCATTGCACATGTTGCCTTCGCAGCAGCAGAAAAACACTTCAGGGCTGTCTTTTCTTTCTATGCATTCAGCTCTGAAAAGGGTTAAAAGCAATTTTACAATGTTACAACTCTGCCTCAGCACAACTATCAATGACACTGCCCTAAACCTAGGTGACAAATCAATGTGTATACCAAATAGTTAAGATTTATTTTATGGACAGCAAAGAATCATATAGCACAGTGGTTCTTAACCATTGGTTCACCACATGCTTTGGACTACAACCCCCAGAAATCCCAGCCAGCTTACCAGCTGTTAGGATTGAGGGAGCTGAAGTCCTAAACAACTGAAGAACCATTGATATAGCACTTGCTATTTATTGGTTATTATGGTATATGCTTTTGTGGATTAGTATTTAAGGTGCTTCAAGAATGTATTATTTTTTTCTGCAACATACCAATATAACGACCCCTTGGTATAAGAGACGGCATTAAGATCCCCAGTAAATAGATCTGAATCAGTATCTCGACTCAGTGATTCAGGCAGGCCAGCTAGCCTTTTTCTTTAAAGGTTGGGAGGATCATAAATCAGATCTATAGCCTACTGTGCAAAGTAGACACCTCTTGTAAGCTAGCACAACTCCTTTTTAAGCTTGCAAGATATTAAATTGAACCAAGAGTTAAATGGATTCATCCAAATCTAAAACAATGCACATCCAGAGCACAATGACTTCTTTCTGCCTGTGCATGTGAGAGCACCATGCTAAAAACTGATTACAAATATTTACATTATAACAGTCAAAGCTTTAAGAATCAGATCTGCATTCCTTTATAGATCTCTGTGGGATCAAGGCACTATCAATATGTAATAGAAAGAAAATCTTCTTATGGACTATTGAATGCATGCACACAGTGTACAAGTTCATTTATAAAACAGAGAATGTAACAGTAGTAGTTTGCTTGCCTGTCATAACAGTTAATATCATCTAGCCAGCAACCCTTTTTCACAATTTCAATAGATCCAGAAATATTCTTCCACGTTGCAAAGCAATGTCGTCTTTTATCTTTATCACCATAACACGATTCAATGCCACTGCGATTTGTTCTATCATTTTCCCAATTAGCGTTGTAGAAGATGCACTCCTGTGTCTCTGATCTGCCTAGAATGGCACCTACAGGAGATAAAATGTAATTAAATAATTAAGCAATCAGATAAAGTTGCTAGGTTCATAGGTAAAAAAACTTTATTCAAAAATTCCCATACTATTGAGTTTATTTGATGTATGATGTTTCTATTTCAGTTGGCATGCATTTCAAACATTTTAAATGACAGAGTGGTATTTGTTTCTACTTAATGATTGTTGTTTAACAATACAATCTTTCCAATTTGTCAACCTTTGTCATTTTTTTCCTTCCTGAAGATTTAGAGTGAAAGCCCTAGTTATTCAAAAAACTTTTAAAACACAAAATGATCCCAAAACACTACTGCTGCTCTGTTGTCCTGCTCAGTCTAATGAAGTTCCATATATCCCTTTTGTGTTTTGGACTACATATTCTGTTTTGATAATGAGTAATTTGTTTTAGTAATTACACCTTAATTTGTCCGGGTGATCCTTTGTCTCATAAATTTTGGGAAGAAGCATCTTTCCCCATCTCCTTACTCTAATTTATGCATAAAGTCAAACAACTACTGGAAACTGTAAATAAAATGCAGGAGGGGGAAATGTCATTTGGCAGTGATTTGCCAATTGTTAATAGGGCAAGGAAATTAGAAATCTATGTCTGTTTACAGGTACAAACCAGGTGCTTACACTATAACAAATTTTTCAGTATGATGCAGAAGTTATTTCTAATCTAGCTTCAAGCAAACACAACAGAGCATGTGCTCCACTGCCTCTTACAAAGCTCGGCAACTTCCAAAAGCTAGCTATGGAGGGGTCTCCCTCATTCCAGAGTTGGTCTGGGGAATGCACAGGACCTATATGTTCAAGGGGCCCTGGGCTATATTATTTTAAACTAAAAAGCAACTCTTAGCTTAGAACCGAATTGCTGAATTTCAGAAAATCCATTATCTTTTCTGGCCACCTGTTATCACTTTTAACATTATTTTTCATCATCTTCAACTAAAACTGTTTCCCCCAGACTATCACTTGTAATTTACATATGGTGTCAGGAAGCACATTTGAGAACAGCGCTGAACAGTGCTGCCTATACTTTGCTCAAGTTTTTGATCTTATTCCAAGTAGTATTCACTCTATCCCATCAGTGGATTTTACTCCAGTCACCACTTAACAGTCTTAATTGCACTACCATCCTCCCTCTCACACACAGTGAATGCCTGATTTATCTGACTGAAGTTCCTGATTTCATCCTGGCTCATTTCCATGCCAGCACATAAAGCCATTACGACTTTATACAAAACCTCTGCTCTGATCACTCTTGATCTTCGCAAACAGTTCTTAAACATTCTATTACATCACAGTGTGGCTCAAATGGTTTCTTAAATATCAAAATAACTGCTGGCTATTTTTTCATTTCAATATTAAGTCTTAAAAATCTCTAGATATACCTTCTGAAAAAAACTGAATTTTTTAAAATAGTTATATTAGTCATTTTAAACTTAATTGCTTTATCTCAGGAATCATTTTTATCCCATTTTGTTTCTTTTACCATGTATATTTATAATATTAGCTTTTTCTAAAGGCATGACAATGACTGAAAAAAGAACACAAGATGGAAAGCAGCACACTGAAAACAAGTATTGTATTTTGAGTTGAAATGACAGAATTACAGTAATAACAAAATAAAATCAAGTAAAATATGAATTAAAAGCTCGCAATTGTCTGAATGCTCATTCTGAATAAACAAAATATTAATATGAAGTAAAATGCTGCCAAGAGATATTTGGGAATCCTCTGCCCCTCAACCACCTCCCCACAAGGATCATCAGAATGCGGCAGCCAGGCTACTCACAAGAACACCCATGAAATGCCATATAACACCAGTGCTGCAACATTTACATTGGCTTCCAACTGAGTACCGTGGTCTGTATAAGATGCTAGTTCTGACCTTTAAAACTTTTTACGGCCAGGGTCCATCATACCTTAGGGACCGCCTCTCCTTCTCCCATCATCGGAGGTCGCAACGACCAGCCCAACATGACTTACTCCATATACCGTGTCCTAGAGAAGTGCACTTGGAAAGGACCAGACGCAGGGCTTTTTTCTATTTCTGCCCCTGCCTTGTGGAATTCCTTGCCGCCCTACATGAGAGCCATGCGTGACTTAGGGCCTTTTACTCTCGCACTTAAGACCTGGCTTTTTACTAGAGTATTTGATCTCTGTTGATTTTTAATTTTTGTATGTATGTATTTTATCTTTTGTAATTTAGCTGTAAATCGCCTAGAGCATTCTCGGATGGAGGGCGATTAATAAGTTATTAAATGATGATGATGATTAATCATAACAGGAATTGATATACAGTATGCTCTGTTAACTAGAACCCAAGGGGATTGGTAGATGCCAGATAAATGCAGTTTTTGTTTGCTTGAGTTACCCTTAAAAACAGGCCTAATTAATACTCTATCCCATACTATACCGTAAACTCTGTATTGACTTGATATTAATATTGAAATACAACAATTAAAGGCAAATTAAGACAAATAAAGAGAAACAAATTAATGTATTATAAAAACAGCTTTCTGAATGAAATATTATTTCTTCAAATTTTTGCCAGTTGTTTCGGTTAACTGAGAGTCTACTGTACTACAATTTCATGATAAGAAATAATTCTGTAAAGACAGTATGCACTCTCACTTGCACTCTCCTCTAACACTACCAGACTGTTAAACAACTTTCTCTACATATACCAGAAAAGTTCAATGAGTCCCAAGGAAGAAAACATGATGAATCATAATACAGTTAATGAATGATTGATTTTTTTTTTTTTAAAAAAACACCATTTATTGAGATACATGGAGCTGAATTCTGGGAATTGAAAGCCCAAACAGCTGGAGGGCTGCAGTTTGAAAATGCCTGCCTATACAGAGGAGATAGTTACTTTACTGATAAGAGTTATTTCCATGTCACTGATGTCGACTCAATTTGGGGTTGTTTTTTACCATGTGTGTATAGAGTACTTAACACAAATGAGGAAGAAATATTTAAACGTTAATATAACAATACAATAAATATGAGTCATTGTACGCATGATTCTAAATTGTAGCAAAATTTCTGAGATACGAGAAATGAGCTTTCTTATTACAACTACACCCCAGATTCTAAAATAAAAAATCCAATGGAAAGAATGGGAGAACATATTCCCCCTCCCCCATCCTTCCCACAAATTACCTAACAGAAACTTGATTGGTGATCTTTGTCTCAATAGTTTTCCAGGCTCTTTTTAATATCATTTAATAAAATTTTCAAAGTGTCAATAGAAAGCTTAAAGAAAGCTTAAATAATTTGCCCATTGTATTTTTAAAGTCCTGAAAGTAATCCTAGTCTTTACTATTCCCAGCCTCCTTTCATCCCTGCTTTTCCCAGGTTCCAGCCTCTTTCCCATTTCAGTCTTGCCCTTTTTCCCACAGCAGTTTCCCACTTTCCCAGCTCCTCTTTCTCACCCCAGTCTTTCCCACTTTCCCAACCCCCTTTCCCACTTCTTCACTTGCCCCTTTCCCACTCCAATCTTTCCACCTTTCCAGCCCCCCTTTTGCAGCCATCTTGCTCATTTTACAATCTTCCTTTCCCCATCCCAATCTTTACGCAATGTCTTTCCCACCCTAATTTTCCCAGCTTTTCCCAACCCACACTGCAGATTGGGGTATTTCCCACCTTCCAGCCCACCTTTCCACACCAAGCATTCCCAATTTCCAGCCTCACTCTTTTCACACCTCAGTTGTTCCCCCTTCCCTTGTCGCCCTCTTCCCACCCCAATTTGTTCTGCTTTTCCAGCTACCCCCTTTTCACCTCATTTCCCCACTTTTTCAGTCACCCCTTCCCATTCCAACCTTTTCCTGTTTTCCAGCCCTTCTTTCCCACCCCCTTCCCATGCCAGTCTTTTTCATTTTTCTTTAATCATATACACACAGTATTTTCCCCAAAATGCATAGTTAAAATAAACTACGATAATTATTGGAAGGATACGTAAGCACGTTCACACTGAAGAAGGTTGGAATAATGATTTAATCAGAGTTGGACAATCTTATCTTAAATGACAATTTTATGTAAATATTCAAAAACATTTAACCTACTGATGTCTGATCTCGGAAGCTAAACTGGGCTAGCCCTGGTTAATAATTGGACCACCAACAAAGACCAGGTAAGATAGTCTATATTTCAGAGGAAGGAACTGGCAAGTCTAAGAAAACCCAATGATACTAATGAGATCACAAGTTGACTGCCAACTTTAACTTGGGGGGGAGGGGGGGAGTGCATGTGCAAGATCAAGATGTTTTTACCAATGTGGATACCAGATTTTGGTTTAATAAACAAAAAAAGTTATGATATCAACGAGAGCTATCCCTACCCAGCTTCCTTTAAAAAATCACTACTTGAATGTTTTAATGTCATCAAGAATCCTTTTAAAGAATGTTAATGGATTTCAAAGCAATTTTTACAAATATTATAAAACCACCAAGCCTCAATGTTTCTAACTTCTATCTTAGTTTTAATTTGTCAAAATTAATGTTATATCTAAAGTCACATCTCCCATAAAACTTTAGGTACTTTATAGAGTTCGCAAACTGTTTACATTGAATGGATAAAGAAAAAACTAATTTCATCATAAATTGATTCATGCAAAAAGTTTGAAGCAAAACATTTATCTTTTGCTTCAATTTTTTTTTAAAATCAAAATGCTAGTCCAAGCTAGAGTATACCCAGTGTCTTACAGACAAACGAAGTGTTGGACTAAACACCATTCAATGCATACTCATAAACACATGGATAGCAGTAATCAAATATCTATACTTCCAACCAATAGAAATGACTTCAGTCAGTTGAGTCTAAACTGCAGACATATGACTTTGCATCCCAATCCCCTTTTTGTACTAAAACTAATGAAGAGTTCTGCAGAAATCGAAAGCTCACACACTTTTTGGTTTCTCTCAATAACTTTGAAGTTATGGATTTTGTATTTCTTGTCTCTCCTGTTGACTCACAGCTATCTTTAT